GATTTACGACACATCAGAGTATGAACATTTCATGTAAACAGTGTTTAAAGAATAATACAATGATATAAAGTATGATAGTACAACAATGCACAATTTGATATACGCATATTATAAAAAGCAGTATGATACAGTGAATATTTGATATAATCTTACTCCCTGTTACAGTGAAAAGCAATATTACATTGTACAGTTTGATGACATGACATGCATTATAAAGCATTTTAGGATGTATAGTAATATATAGTATAATCGAGCACAGCATGGAACAGTGACACAAAAATGTCATGGAACATAGAAACACTGCGTGAAACATATTAAAATGAAATATTACAGTGAAATGAATTGACAAAAATGGCTAAATATTGATTCGGTAGTACAGGTGTATACATAAATGACGTATTCACTTTAGTAATACCGTAAAATGCATTACCATATTGATAACTGTAATAGTAGTTAGTATGGTACAAACTGTATTATGTTCTATACCACAGCAATATTTCATTGTTTCCTTGCTCAATAAAAAAGGAATCTGAATGTATTTAGTTATGCTTCATTATGTACACTGAATAGCCGTATCAATCTGAACATAATTCTTCGTCTAATATAATACAGCTTAATATAAAACTAACGCTTTTACGAAAATTCCATCATAAGCCAAAATAAAATTCATCTTTTATGTCGTGTGTATGACATAACGCACAGTCTGTTTGCTCTACTGCTGGTTTCTGTATCGGCCTTGTTCTGTGTTAAGATAATGTGACCTTAAACTCAATCTAACAGCATCGTTGTATGTTATGTTGTACAGCTTGAAATGGTCTTGTACAAGTAATTTAATAGAGAAAACAATGTCAATGATAGGCTGATTATATAATATTTAGTAAATCCAAAAATAGTTGATTTGAATCACACCGAAAGCCTTTTTCTCAATAAATTATGTGTTTTAATTAATCTGATCTGTTCAGCTCGGCTGGAATATTTACTACTTTTTTCAAATAACATTTCATATTAACCTATCGCTGAAGCATGTTTTTTTTAATTTGTAATCTTCAGCACTATGACAAACATCTAAGATTTTGAGCTATATATACGACCTAATTGACGGTCACGGCAACATGTTATTTTGCGTATATTTAGATTTTCCATTGAAGTTGAAGAGCTTACCAAGATATTTAATATATTTACAATCTGGAGGTCAATATTATTATAATTCATTATCTTTATAATTCAACTCATTACACTTGCTGTATTTTTTCTGGCGAATCTGCAAATATCATTTGCATATATCAGAGGGAAAATGGTTATCAATTTTCATCTCAATCGACGGAAAATGTAATTTTAAAAATACATCTCACAATCATTTACCCGAATCAAATATAAAATTGACGATAAATTTCTCCTTGTAAGCCACCGAAACTGTTAATGAAATACCCAGAAAAAAAAACATAATGTTATATACAGTATTAAACAGAAATATATATAACGCCTGAATAATTTTAGCATGTAATCATGCATTTCTTGTTTTATTAATTTACACCAGAGAAAAGTTTTATGACTGTAATCTACAAAATAGCAATAAAGACTTCCACATTTTAAACTTAAACATATATTAATAAATGATTGGAGGACAGACATAGCATCGAAAGTTCAGTAACCGGATCTAAATCCAAATATAGCGTCAGGTATTACACCGTGTCCATTATCTCAATTAACGAATCTTACATTAAGGTTCAACAAGCCCCCTGACAGGCTATATAGTCACCCTAAATTTCAACCCCCTAATACGGTCATACTCAAATACTCCAAGTAAAGATCAGAACTTATATATATATGTAGTTTTGATATATTAAACTTGTACATTAGCTATTGAAATGTACCATAGTGAGGTTATTTATTTTGTTTGCAAAAAGAAAGAAAAAAAAAAAAAAACTTTGTAAAATTTACGCAAATTGAAGATTCTGACCTGTTCCATTTCAAGATATTTTGAAGATTAACTTTATGAGAAATCAATGAATTACCAAATGTTGTTCACATTAGCAGCTTCATCAAAGAATTCCAAGGATAAAAGCTCTCTAGATAGCGTTTAGCCAGCGAACTACAATGTATGAGTTCATTATTAAGTTCATTACTTGTCATTTTTTCGCAATTAAGCCGCGTTATAAAACACCATGAAACAGGACACTTTACGATTTCACAGAATACCAAACGTTTAAAATCGTTTTCATTTGTCCATTATAAGTAGTTTGCTGTTCTGATCGGTTAGACGTAGATAACGTTTATAACTATGTGCTATATGCTTGTTTTTTTATATATTGTTTTATTTTTAGAGACATTTTTATTGCATAAATACGTAAACACCACATACACCCACATACATACAATTCCCTTTAGCATGGTTTGTCAATCATCTCTTGCATCTTCATCTCTTTCATCATCATCCTCATCGTGACTGAATATCATCATCAGCCTTGTCAATCATCATCAATAGTAACAAACCATTATCATCATTACCATTATCATCATTACCATTCTCATCTTAATACATCATCATCATCAT